TTACAGTAAGTGGTCCTGTGCTGCTGACGTCATATGTGAACTGCCATATTTGGCGATCATATGTTGTACAATGCTGATGTTATTTTTTATAGGTATGTTGATGAAGAAGATATGGTGCTTTATGCAGCATTAAACCCTCTTGCAACTGTAGACTGTGTTATACCTCCTTTCAGGCGCCCTATGTCCTTCCTGCTGTACATCAATCAGATACTGTATTTTCAAAAAGCGTAAATTTTCAAAAATAAGAGAAAAAAATGAACTCCAGCTTTTGATAGACTTTTTATATCTGAATGATGTGGGTCAGAAACCAACAAAAAGTGTTCTAAAGACAACATTTTAGCATTTTGCACATTCAGGTTCTCTTGTCTGTGGTCTTTGTAGAGTGGCTATCTAGTTAACAATAACATTAAAAATGACTTATTTTACTCGAATAAATCATATCTATCTAGTCCGGCTAAGGTAGCATAGTGGTAGGGTGTTCGATTTGTGATCGAGAGGCCCTGGTTCGATTCTCGTTCGCCGCGCCGCATCAAACCTCAGACGTAAACGTAGGTTGTGACTGTTCCTTTGCCAAGAGCCCGGGACTAGAATTGAAAGTCACGGATGTTCAAGATGAAATATTAAAAACCAAGGCCCCTTGTCACTGTAGGCGTTGGCATGACAATGAAACCTCACTGCTCAATGGCCCTGGGTGCCGATTATAGGTCTAAATTTGAAGCCAATGGTGACGTCTGTACAAGAGTGAAAATTCTGACATGGGACATTAAACAACATACAATGAAACATATTCATCTAAAACAACACTACAAATCTATTTTAGGTATGACTCTAATTCTTGGCCAAATTATTCGAATATAACCTGGTTTTCGTCAATTTACGCTTTATAATCCGCGAAGCGGAGTTATTCTTTATAATTTAATTTCAAAATCAATAAACAACTACATTGCTTTTTATAAGTTCAAATTACGCCGCTCAATAATACAACCGTAGCAACGGCGAGTGAGGGAATCTAGATACTGATACGTAGGCTTAGCAGCCATGTTGTTGTTTACGTTAGGTAAGAACGAGTTACTATTTGAAGTTGAAGGTACAGTTATTAAATGTGGAATTTTCCATGAACCCCGAAGACTGGACATGAGATAATTGATTCAGCTGGTTGTCGGGGGGGGGGGGTCCCCATACCAAACCAGGTTATACAGATTTAATGTGTGTTCCTTGTTGGATATTAACCAGTCAGGGGCTAGAACTCAAACAAAACTAAATTAGTTTATGTTATTCAGTGAATTATATCTATAATGCATTTCTTTTTTTAACAGTATATACTCTTCAAAAGGAAAGAAAGAAAAAAGAAGGAAATGCATAGTAAAAAAGTTTTAATGATGTATTGAACATTAAGATTTTTTAGTATAATGATGTATTGATAATAAACAATAGGTCTACAATCTAAATATCATAATTACTGAAGAATTTTACAATCATAGACAGTTCCAGGTCATTTAGGATCAATATCTCAATATCTGGTATGCCAACCCTACTATTGCAGATTCTGGGGATGCAGTTGTATTTGGCAGATATGAAGATCTATTTTGTTCAATGAATGAATCATATTCTTCTAAAAAAAAATTATGACAGAACTATTTAATTCATTCATTCATTTATTATTCATGGTATAATAGCTGTTATGAATTTCCATTTATTATTCATGGTATAATAGCTGTTATGAATTTCTTCCTTTGAAAAGTATAGTAATATTTCTAACTATGCAACCATTATATAGAAAAAAATCTTATCATAATTATTGTATATTGCATTTTATTTTGACACATTACTTACAGATATTAGTACCAGTGGTCCATTATCTAAGTATTACATTTAAGCTTTAACGCTCAAACAAGCGGACAAATGTCTTAAATTGTTCACATGTACTTCATATTTGATAGGATACCGGCCTTTACTTTTAATTATGTATGGGAGCGTTTTGATTAAATTATTTACCCCTACATGTTAATTTTTTATTTTGCAATATCAGAGATACGGTAAGACTTCTTCATCTTTGACCTTTAGTGATTTTGCAATATTCTTTCAACATCTCGTGTATTAATCTATTGTGTAATGTACGTTCTATGTTTCTAATTCTGCAGAGGGTGTGTTTATCTAAGACGTCAATGATCCATCGTTATGAAGAAAGTCATATGGCTGTTGTGCCTTAATTAAAAACAAGCATTCTGAGAGTATTGCATTAGCAATACTAGTCCCCTACCGGCAAGTGTAATCTGGTTCCCGTTAAAAATTGAAAATGCCATAATTCCGTCAAAAATCATTGAAGCGGGACGAAATACAAACTTGATCTATAACTCATCAAGGTAAAGTCACATGCCAAAAATCAGCTCAATATCTGCAAGCGTTTAGAAGAAAATTGCGGAAAACCCTTAAAAATTGAAAAGGTCGTAAGTCCGTCAAAAATCAATGAAGCGGAACGAAATGCAAACTTGATCTGTAACTCATCAAGATACACTTACATACCAAAAATCAGCTCAATATCTGCAAGCGTTTAGGAAAAAAGTGCGGAAAACCATGTGGGACAGACTGACAGACAGACAGACAGACAGACAGAGGGACAGACGGACAGACAGACGGACGGAAAGACTCAGAGGAAACCTATAGTCCCCTCCGGTTTCACCGTTATTAAATTGAATCTTGAAGAATCTCTTGAAGAATTTAATGTTCCTAAATTAGATGACACTGAACGTTTTCACTTGGAAGGTGTCATTTCATATAATGAAGCTCTATTTGTATTAAAGACAATGTCTAATAACAAAAGTCCAGGTAGTGATGGTTTTACAGCAGAATTTTTTAAAGTATTCTGGAGGAATCTTGGTCATTTTATAGTACGCTCCTTGAATTATGGCTATGAAATAGGTGAATTCTCTTCCACACAAAAACAAGGAATAATTACCTGCATACCAAAAGAAGGAAAAAGTAAATTTCATCTAAGCAACTGAGGCCAATATCACTGCTTAACATTATTTATAAAATTGGATCAGGATGCATAGCACACAGATTAGAAAAAGTTTTACCCAAAATAGTAAGTTCAGATCAAACAGGTTTTATATCTGGGAGATACATTGGAGAGAATACACGTCTTGTATATAATTTGATGCACTATACAGAATTGCATGATATTCCTGGGATTTTAGTCATGATAGATTTTGAGAAAGCCTTTGACTCCGTGTCATGGACTTTTATTCAAGAAACATTGGAATTTTTTAATTTTGGACCAAGTTTTTGTAACTGGATAAAATTTTTTCAAAACAATATAGTTTCATGTGTGTCTCAGGCAGGAATTTTATCCAACTTCTTCAAGTTAGGACGGGGCTGTCGACAGGGTGACCCAATTTCTCCTTATGTATTTCTCTTATGTGCTGAGATACTGTCTATTAAACTCAGAAATAATGAGAATATTAAAGGAATTAAGATAAATGATGCAGAGTACTTAATGTCACAATATGCAGATGACACAATGATAATTCTTGATGGCTCTGAAAAATCATTGAAGGCTACAATGCTAGAATTAGAAGAATTTTATAAAATGTCAGGTCTCAAAATTAATCAATCAAAAACCCAAATTGTCTGGATTGGAAGTAAGAAATATTCTGAGGATAGACTCTGTCTGTCTGTCTGTCCCTCTGTCTGTCTGTCAGTCTGTCCCACATGGTTTTCCGCACTTTTTTCCTAAACGCTTGCAGATATTGAGCTAATTTTTGGTATGTGAGTGTATCTTGATGAGTTACAGATCAAGTTTGCATTTCGTTCCGCTTCATTGATTTTTGACGGAATTGCGGACTTTTCAATTCATAGGGGTTTTCCGCAATTTTCTTCTAAACGCTATCAGATATTGAGCTGGTCTTTAGTATGTGACTTTACCTTCATAAGTTATAGATCAGGTTTGCATTTCGTCCCGCTTCATTGATTCTTGACGGAATTATGGCATTTTCAATTCTTAAAGGGAACCAAATTACACTTGCCGGTAGGGGACTAGTATTGCTAATGCAATAATCTCAGAATGCTTGCTTGATATTGCTTTCTAACATGTGATTCTAAACAGATCCAGTCGCCCCAAAACAGTGAAAAAAAAGAGTAACAACAGTAATCACATAAAATGAGAAGATAATAAAATAGAGATCATGCTCTAAAGTCAAATTAAACATAACGAATTGAAAACAGAGCAAATGCGGACCCCCGCCGAGATGGGATTGGGTGCCATGGAGAAATAAGCGCTCCTTGTCGACAACAGAGCAGAAACGGTTGTAGCTGGGGTAGAATAACTGGGCTTCAGTAAGCACGCGGAGGTAGTGTATTTAGGCATTATGTGTCAGCGGGCTCGAAGAGGATAAATAAGATGAGGTGATGGTATTTTCCAGGAACATTTGTATGTCCATCTAGGTTGTTTGTATAAGTATTTTAGACTTCTACGATTAAATTTCTTTTTATAAGTTATGAAACATCCATGTGAAAAAAAATTTGAAAAAGTTAGAAATTGCTCCGGAAGAAACTTGCTTTGTGCGAATGCAGATAATAAAGTTCATGTAATACCACGATTTTGTGGTCAGTTTAAGTGTAATGAGTATCAATGCACTCTGTAAAACTTTTGATGGAATTCTTTTTATCTTATCATCATATAAGTTAATGTTTAAATCTTCAATATTCAATTATGATTGTAGTTTTTATAAAACAATTTAAAAAAATTAAATACTATTTTCGAGGGCATTGGCTTTGAAAGAATACAGAAAATATATACATAACTTTCTTTTGTCAAATGCTACAAGTTGTGTGTGGCTTAAATTAAAATGTCCAGTTGCTATATGAACCCACATATCTATTTAAAGAATATCAATAACAAAATAACATGACATATAAGCGCCACAGCAATGTTCAGTATAATTCTATTTTACTGTACTGTATAAAACGTAATTTGGACCAAACGGAAATGAAGACCATACTCAAAAGCAGTTGTGGAACTGAACCTGAAACAAAGTAGAATACTAGTAAAATACAATGCATAAATTATACACATGCATACTACAGTATTTACTTTCATGCATTTTTAAATTTGTCCCCTACTTTATTTGACAAAAACACGATAACAGAGCATTAACAAACACAAACACAGACATAGAAAGAAAACAAAGAATTGGAAACGTTTCTATTGTATGTCACCCTGCACTGGCCTGTCCTTGGTTCATCACACAATAAGCTAGCGGTGTAATATTAGAGACCTGAGCAGAGTAAGCTACGACTATTTTAAAATTCTGCTATATATAAAAATTTCAGAATTCATCTTTTTTATTTCTATAACATAGGCAACATGAAGTTTACATGAAATACTTTTAGAGTAAAACATCAAATTTAACCAGAACAATTCCTGTTTTTGGATGCCATAGCAACATTGACAAAGATTGTCAAAGCGATACCCATATTTTAAAAGAAACCACTTTGTCATGATGCTAAGATCAATCCTTTAAAGTCTTAAAAAGACTGGCTAAGCAGTTACCCATGCAATCACTATTTACCGTTACATGCAACAAGTCATGCCATCTGCATGAAAGCAATATTATTAATGAAACAAAATGATAATACCCTCGTTGATGACTGATCTCTTACGCTTTTGCATTCATGAAATATGTTTACTAGCACATATCAAAAAATCGTGTAAATGAGACTGGTCAATCTCTGCCTTCACCGAAGCTAACAGTCCAGACAAATCTTTATTTATGAAATTGATTTCTAAGTTTAAATTGTTGAAAGCACATTTACAGATGGTGATATTCAATTCTGTAAAGTTTCATTAAGATAGTCCAAGCTATCTGACCACTGGCACTAGAAGTGAAAGTCACGCGTGTTGGGTACATCCTTAAAAAACTCTTGTCCCGATAGGCGTTGGCACGGTAGAGAACCCTCACTGCTTAATTGCCCTGAGTGCCAAGTATACGCGGGTCGTTCAGTAAGTAATGAACACTACACTGAGCTGAAAACTGTGTAAAAACTGCCTCTGCCAAAAGAAGATTAAAATGTGGGCGTATGTGTAAACTGTGCTTCATTACAAAAATTGCTAAAGAACCCATATGAGAGATATGGTTTTGATAAGTGAAAAGACCAGTCATTTACACTATACAGTGTTCAGATGGATAAAGCAATTCAGAAGTAAATTTCATCACCACACAGTTTATAAAGCTTTCTGAAATGAGTTAAAAATATTTCTTATGGATATGTGTCTTATTTCCTTACAGATGCCTAAGAGAAAACTCGCGTTAAATGTGCCAAACAGGTTTATACAAGTTTTCTTTTAACTCAAGAAGTCCCATAATATACGTACGTATACCTAAAGGAAGGGCCATCAATGATAGCTTTTATGTTAAATTTACACTGGCGAAATCAGGCTTTCTTCAATGAAACTCCAAATACCGGTCCCCAGAGTAATGTTCTTGCACCTGACAACGCTGCTGCTAGTTAAGCATAGAGATACAAACTTTAAGGAAATTTTTTGAAGAAAGAATTTTTTACAGATCTTAGATCTCCCGTATTCGCTAGATCTCAGTCATTGTGAGATTTTTTACTCTAAAAACGGAAGAAAACAATCAAAAGACGACTTAACAATTTCAGGTAATTCTTAGGGACTGCTATTCATCAGTGTCTTTGGAGCATCCCTAAAGACGAGTATGCTGAGGTGTTCCAGTCATGGGCACAAAGACTTTAGACACGTGTAAAGGTCAACAAGGAATACTTTGAGGGATTAAAAATATTTTAAACCTGCCTCTCCTTCCTTTCTTACTTTTAGATAACCTTTTTGCATTACTTATTGAACGACCTTCGTAGATCTATATTTGATGCCCTTCACCGGTAAATTGTGACGTTTCTACATGAGTGAAAAATTCTCGAATGGGACGTAAAACAACAATCCAAGCCATCTTCGAGAATACTATTACTAATACGAGTATCTGCGGACAAAATAAAGGAGGAACAATAATATGTCGTCCCAACTACTAAGTATGTTCCGGGTGACATAAACAAACCAAACTAAGCTAAATGATTTCAACATTTCCAAAGTACTAGTTTAATATATCAGTAACTTACCATGTCGATGTAACCGATGAAGCCCTGGTATGGCTGATACTTTTTACCAATTTCCATTGGACAAAAAGATTTAAACGTTGAAGCTAAAAGTGAATTCAGTATTTTTGTCAAATGCAAATAAATTGCCGAGATTTTTTTTTCAAATATTGAGCAAGGATGATACTATACCTCCTATTTCACCAGTGGCTTGTCTTTTATCAGTAAACAATGCGATTTCACCATCTTTAGCTTGCAATGACACTGTTATCCAGTCGGTCAAATCCTTACGTATAAAGATAAATTACCAGTATTATTATAAATATTTATCATCATCAAAAAATCGTTTAAAGGGTTGAAGGAAATCTTTTAAACAATCTATAATACCTCTGTTTATTCATAGATGAGATCTGAAAATAAACTTTTCCCCTTTTTTATTCATTATTTGCAGTTTACTAACAAAGACATGCAGCATGGCTTTGGAACAATCCTATTTTATTTGATAAGTTTATGATAGATCTTGAACACTATGATAAAACCATCAAAATGCAGTTTACCACATCTGTTAGAAGGAGCTCCATTACATCGTTCTTTCTCAGTGCCATAAAGGAGCGTATTTCTCGCCGCACTGGATTGACAGATATGCTGTATTGTGGTATACTCTCTTCGCAGGGTCCGTCAGAAATCAAACTGTAGAACTTGTCTTCGTACGGGTAATTCCGCGAGAGCTTGAAACGTACCAGAAATTTGAAAGTGACGGCAAATGTGATATAGCTCATTCCCCATACAGTGACTATCCCGTCCCCATCCAAGTAAGCGGAAGTTTGACCCGTGCTTCCAGGTTCTCGAAGGAATCGAATTGTGTTGCTGGGGAAGGAAGGCATACTTTTATCCACGGACAAAAAGGTTTTGTCAAACACGAAAGTAAAGTAGGGATTGCAAAGCTTTTCGTGTTTTTTATCTGAAAAGGAAATATTTTTGTTTTGGTCATCTTATTATTGTTTTTTTTAAAGATTGATATTGAGAATTTAAATTCGGGTCAATGATCATGTAAACGGATGCTTTTTTTTTTTTGGTTTATTTAATATTGATACCATGAACATCTGATATATGTGTTTGCTTTAGCTCTGAAGGTTTTCTTGTGTTTCTGATTTTGGTAACCCCTTTATTTTTCTTGAATGGTGGTGATTGGACCCGTCTTTCCTTCTTTGTGGATGCCTTGGAAGACAACATAAAAGATGTTTTTGTTGATGATTTTGTTGATGGATTTGATAAATTTGTCTGATGTTGCAGAAGATGACGACTTGTTTTTCTTTTCGAGCTTTTTGATAATTTTGTGTCAGTGTCTTGTGGGTTGAATCCCCCTCCCAACAAGTCAAACGAATTTGTTACCAAAGGATTGACTGTTGTGACCAGCGGAGTTGAATGTGGACGCTCCTCTATGGTTACTGGGAGGAATGTAGTGGGAGAGCGCCGTTCTGGTCTTATATCAGCTTTGGGTTGACCAGATGGGGCTGAAACTGGGAGACGCAGCGGAACGCACCGACATAGCTGTGGTATGTAATATCTTTCAGTCGGGCATAGACGTAATAATGCATAGCCATGAATATAAATGATATAGTAATTTGGTCTCTGAAATGGTTCCCTGTTACAAGCTGAAATTTGAAGGAAAATATTTTGTTAATAAAATCAACAGCTATGGAAAAATATATCAAGTAAATTATGACATCAAATGCATGTACAAGTGAAATACACATGCAAGAGCATGTGTTTCTTAAAACAGTTGAAAAAAATCGTTACATTTAACGCATTTAAAATACATGAATGTTTAACAAAACATTCAACCTGATACTTTTTAACCAATGTCACCTTAAGATGTGAAGTGCATTTCCTCTATTTGCTGGTTAAGGTGAAATCGTTATCTACCTTACTATTTACATTTTTGATGAGATAATTACTAGTATTTTACTTTATATAAGTGATCTAGAATTTTGTTTACTTCACTGAATGGAGCTATGAAATGCTTTATTGAGTAATGCATATAAGGTAATCAAATTTGTGAGATATATTTTTTTCCTTATTGATAATTGATAATTTCAGGGTTTTTTTTTTCAAGGATTTGTAAGTGTACATCTAAAGAAAACCAAGGTTTGTGTTTAATTATCTGAAGTGTTAGAGACTTTTTATTATTATTATTTATATTAAACGAGGGATGAATAGTGCTAGCTATTAAACAAAATATTACCATTGCACAAAAACTGGACGATGATATCTGGTATAATCAAAACTATTCATTTCATACAAAAGAAATTAGCGGAGGTGTTATATGTCTAGCAAAACAGAAAATTATTGTGATTATGCAAATGACATGTATTTTAGAATGAATGTATATAGGAAGGATGCTTATTCTCACTTTCTGTAGTGTTTTTCTTGTGTAAACTGCAAAGAACAGCAGGGAAGAGTGAAAACATCAGTAAAATGTAGGCGTCCTTGCCCTGTTGAAAAAAAGTAGGTTATAGTGCTAAGAACATCAGTAAAATGTAGGCGTCCTTGCCCTGTTGAAAAAAAGTAGGTTATAGTGCTAAGAACATCAGTAAAATGTAGGCGTCCTTGCCCTGTTGAAAAAAGTAGGATATAGTGCTAACATTTTACTAGTAGCTTACCTGAACCAAAGGCTCGAAGGGTGAAAATGAAAATTCCAAACTTTACAGCACATCTTCAGAATATCTCAAATCATCTTTCAAAAGGGTAGGATCGCTGCTGTGTAAAATGCATGAGTATTTCTGGGAACCAGGTTTTTGTGAAATAAAAAAAAGTTTTTTGACCCATTCACCACCTAGGGTGAAAATGAAAATTCTGAAAAACTTATTGCCTATCTACAGGGCACCACCAATCATTTTGCAAAAGAGGATTTAGCAACTGCGTAAAATGCAAGATGAGTTTTGGGAACTTTTAGACCCAAGGACGAAAATGAAAATGTAAGATGAATTACAGGAAGAAGAAAATGGCAGACGGACCAGAATAACAACAATTTTATTAAATTTGCTCAAATCATGATCCCAGGGTAGGGTGGAGTCACAAAAGGTAATCAAAGTTTTTGCTAGGAATAAATAGGATGAAATATGTGGAGATAACGAACAGTATTCAAGCTCAAAAGTCCATTAAACAATACAAATTTTGGAGTAGAGCAAACACGGACCTCTAAAACATCAGAGGTGGGATCAGGTGTCATGGAGGAGTGAGCATCCCCTGCCGATCCACCGTGTGCTCCTTGTCATGATCGGGAAAAACGGAAAATTCCATCGACAATTCAGTATGTAAATAACGGCCTAACAATTAGTATGAAAGACGTCAGTCAGCATTTGACATAATGATAAATTGTATTTGCTGAAGAGGTCAATGCATCGACCATAAAACTTACGAAATGACGACTTTAAACGAGACTGCTGATATTCTTGTTTCATCAACTTGTCAGTAACTTACCTCATTTTAGAAATTGTTCATACGTAGAGCATCCTCTTGCGTATCGAATCAATTGAGAGATATAAACCCCTTATGCAGGTGATGAAGGTATATTCCTACGTAAGTAAGGGAAGTTTATCATAAAGCTTGGTTGTTAGATTACCATTAACGCCTTTTTCTAGTAAAATATCCAAATATGAAACAGATGTGTCAGACTCTGTGGTATCTTTTATTTCAAGCTCACCGGAATATATCGTACCGACAGAAGAATGGAAATAATCATTGTTAATTGACAATACGTCGTCGATATATTAAATATCGAGTTGAAGGCCACAGCAAGTGTTTTCTTCTTTTCACGTATAAGATTTTGAACAAATTCTGCTTCATATGAATACAAAAATAGGTCTGCTAATAACGGAGCGCAATTGGTACCCATGGAAATTCCACTAGATTGTTGGAAGACCTGGTCTCCAAAAACCACATAGATATTATCAATCAGAAACTCAAGCATCTTTTAATATCAACTTTGGAGTACTTGTGTGTACAATCAACAAAACAAAATAATTTTGCAAATGACCAATGACAAGAAAAGTAAATTTACGAGTTCCATTTTATTGCAAAAGCAGCTGTTAATGATAGCAAAAAGCCTGGACTTTAATTTGTCGTGGGGAATGGTTGTATATAAAGTTTAAAAGTCGTACGTTTTTATGTTGTTGATTTTGATAAAATTTTGATTTCAAATTTTTCAAAAGTTCCTAGGAATTTTTAAGTATCCACATCTGATTTACACAACTTCTCGTATATATTGTTGCACAGTATTCCTGAAGGATCTCCTTCGCTACTGTTAATATTTTAGTGAGGAGTAAAGAAAGAGGCTTGGTAGAGCATTTACTGGAACCAGCTATGTATCTTCGCTTGTAAGGATTTTTTTTTATAAAGTTTCGGAATCCAATATAGATATGGTAATTTAAGAAAATTAGAAAAATTTAGGAAAAATCTTTAAAAAATCTTCTCAAAAACTGCGATCGAGTCATAATTAACCCTAATCATATGGAAGCATCCTTAGGTAGTGTAGATTCAAGTTTGTTTAAATCATAGCCCCTTGAGATAGGGTGAATCCCCAATAGAAAATCAACGTTTTACCAGGGAAAAACACAGAAAAATATGTTTCAAAGTTTTTTTCAAGTAAAGTAGGACCATAATTAATGATATTGACATGCAAGCATCCTCAAGTTTTACATAGGAATAAATAGACAAAAAATCATTAAAAATCTTCTCAGAAACAGCAAGCCATAATTAGCCCTATTTATAGGGAATCATCCTTAGCTAGTGTAGATTCTAGTTTGTTGAAAACATGATTTCCAAGGGATAAGGTGGACCAACAACAGTTTTACATGGGAAAATATAGGGAAAAAAATCTTTAAAAATCTTCCTTTTACGAATTATAGTTCCATGATTAGATATATAAATATGCAATATTTTACCCCTGGGCATAGGAAAGATCCAAAAGAGAATAAAAGGAAAATCGATATCATTAAAAAAAGAAATTTTCATTTGATAATATAGTCATGATTAGTCATATGAGCATGCAAGTATCCTCAGGCAGTGTAAATTCATTTTTTTTCAAAACATGCATATATGACCCCTAGGGCTAGGGTGGAGCCAATGTTCTGAAAAAAAGTAGGGCCAGGGTGAGTCTGGTGAGCGTTTTGGCCCGATGGACCTCTTGTTAGCTTATATAAAACGTAATATTTGAAAGTGTTTGACACATAAGATTTGTTCTAAGCTTAGTAGATCAATCAAATCTGGATTTATTATTTCTTGAACTCTTTATATAGGCCATTACATATAGTGCTGAAATATGTCGACAAATTAAAATTGAGAAATATTACAATAAAAAGGGGTTTTATCTTTAAAAAATATGTAGAAAAAAAAGATAGTTAATATAAGATAAATATATAGAAGAACTAGCACTTACACTTTTGTTCCTCATGCCAGGCATGTCAATGGAATACTCATAGGTATGTCAACCTTACCTGTTAATAAACAATTAGGGAGCATATGACAATTACTAGTAATGGCTAAAATACACGTATCACACCGGCTGGGACACTCTGATAGATGTAAAATCTACGCTAAAGAGTGTTTCGAACAAGATCAAGATATTTTATTGTCAGGTAATATTCCTAAAGTACAACCTATATTAGGCAAAACTTATTCTTAAAAATAAATGTAAAATGGGTAAAATCTATTTTGTTTTATGAAAGGTATTTAAAAATCATAGTTATGCAATAAAGTTGGAAAGTCTTCTCATTAAAACGGTGAATCGATCTCAAAAAATCCACAAACAATACAAATCTGTGAACAGGGCATAAAATACCGACCTGAATCAAATACCTAAGTGGAGTAAGCATCCCTTGTTGACCAGTCACATCAGCCGTGAGCCCTAAGTATTGATCAGGTAGACGGAAAATTCCGTAGTCAAATTCAGTATAAAAAGAAAGGTCTGCATATGTAACCATTGGTATGATACACGTAAGCCAAAATACGACCCAAACGGCTTTGGATTTTCAAGATTGGATAGTATTCCTTTTTTTTTTTTGGCTCGACGGACATTTTTGAAGGTTTCCCTTTTTAAAACCGTCGCTACGGGACTGTATCTCATATACACATTGTTTATGTAAAAAAAAAAACGTTGAATGTGCAAGAAAAACACCAAATTTTACAAGTTCCTTGGAGTTTTTCTAAATCCACATCTGATTTACACCACTTCTCAATTATATTGGTAAACAGCTCTCCTGAAGTTTCTCCTTCACTGCTGTTAATATTTTAGTGAGGAGTAAAGAAAGAGTCTTGATAGAACATTAACTTATTCCTGTAGCGGTAAACCCTTATCACCTGCATATAGAGTTTATGTCTAACAGATAATTCAATACGAAAGAGTATGCTCTATATACGTAGGAACATACCTATAACAAGGCACGCTATTGACAAAGAAACTGATGAAACAAGGATATCCACAGTCTCTTTTAAAGTCATCATTTTGCAAGTTCTATGGTTTATACAATCACCTTGTCAGCAAATACAATCTATCATTAAGTCGAATGTTGGTTGACGTTTTTCATACTAATTGCATTTTTTGCAACAAGCCATCGCTGGCAACTTCTGTTTACCCTCCAGGGTTGTCAGCACCATATGGCTCCCCATTTCTGCAAACTGTATGCGCCAAATGCCAGATTGAGGATCGGCGCTTACTCATTGACACTTGCTATAATACTTGATTATTGTCCATTGTTTTGATACCATTGTTTTATTATGTAATTGCCTTATAATGTTAAACAAGAATAAAGCCATGACAGATACTGCCATTCTGAATTGCTTATTCTTTCGAGATAATTGCTAGGACATTATTTAAACATTGAATTGTCTACGGATTTTTCCGTTTGCCATGACAATGAGCGACAGGGGATGCTTACTCCTCCTCTGTCACCCGATCCCACCTCTGATGTTTATTTGTTTCTATGGACTTTTGAACTTGCTTACTGTTCGTTATCTCATTATTTCATTTAATATACTACATTTGACTACGGATTATTCCGTCTAACTGATCAGTACATAGAGCTGGTGTGACCGATCGACAGGGGATGCTTACTCCTTCAACACACCTAATCCTACCCTTGGAATTTGTATTGTTTGCGTTTTTTTTTTGATCGTTCACTGTTCTTTGCCTATTTTTTTTTTTTTTTATCATTGTAGTACTTGAACCAGAGGAACGAGCATTGCTATAATTTAGAAATTCTTGAAAACACTATTCAAAACACATGTGTCATATTATCATTGAAATAGATTTATTTGAAGTAATCTTTTATCCCCTAACCTATAAAGCTCTAATTTGTGGACAACTCCATGAAAATTGAACGTGCGTTCGGGAACCCACGACATGATAGTAAAGATCAACATGGAGTAGCATTTAGACATGAAGGGGTACTTTTGGTAGTTAATTTTGTTTCGCTTATAAATTTGATTTTGGTAGTTAATTTTGTTTCGCTTATAAATTTGATTTTGTTTCAAATTCAACACGAAATATAGCTTTCATACATAAAATGCAGTAGCCCACTGAATGGAGTAACGATAAGTTTATACAACTGGCACGTCATATCAGAGACTGCGGCTGATGGATAACATAATCAATAGAGTTACCTGTCATCAGCAGAGATTAAAAGAGCGTGGTCAGGGTAGATTACGTAATGGGGACGGGAGATGACTAATTTCATTAGGATAGATACAGATGTACTACTGTACAGGGCCCTTTTCTTATTGTTTAATTGCAAGGACTTTGTATGTCTGCGACGAGTCGACGGAAATTCATGACGTCGTGTACTAATATTTACATACTCTTTGCATGCATTAATAAAACCCAGTTTTTATCTCCGCATACAACACACTAATTACGGCCGATTGATAGGTCTATGTTTAACCATTCAACACAACAAACACAAAGCTTACAAGTACGGAGTGTTCACGGCTCGGCAGCTCATTCATTAGGTCCTCATAAACAGAGTACACTAAAGAACGGTAGAGTACTGGTTATATCTTATCAATGAGGAACATTTTCTAGTAATTTTTGGATGCTTAACTTCAATATAACCAAAGAAAAGAATATATTAAATAAAATTGTTTTTGTTTTCTTTAATTTTAGATTTATAAAAAAAAAATATTAAATTTATCTTTTTGGGTTACAGTTATTAACCCTTTCACGATAACTGCGGTACTTGTCTTTTGCAGGGCAAAATACCAATATTTGGCGAAGTTTTTGATGACAGATAATTAAATGACGTATATTAAACAATTACTTTTACGTCATATTTCACCAAAATATATCATTTTGCCCTGCAAAAGAGCAGTACCGCAGTTATCGTGAAACAGTCTATTACGGAAAAAGGTGAAGAAAACGAACAGTAATCTTTTAAAAATACAGCGAACACGTAAAAAAACAAGGACCCCACGGAATCAGATGTGGAATCAGGTGCCTAGGAGGAGTAAGCATCCCTGTCACACCCGCTGTTAGTCCTCTGTAATGATCAGGTGAACTGAGTAATCCCTAAACAAAATTATTACTAAACAATGGCCTAACAATTGATATGAAACCTATCAGTCGAAATACGGCATAATGGTAGGTGATATTTGCAAATAAGATCCTTATAACGACCATAAAGTTTTCAAAATGTTAACATTTAATGCTAATGCTGATTAAACAATTTAAAGTAACTATTCATAGGCTATTAAATCCCAATTACCACGAAAATTGTTTCAATTTATTCTATTAATCTATTATTTCGTTTTGATTATCAACTATACAAAGTATTTTTTATTGAATGAAATATGGAGATATCGAACAGTATTCAAGCTTAAGGTCCATTTAAACAAAAAATCGGGAGCAGAGCAAACACGGACCTCCAACCAAAAAGATCAGAGGCGGGAGCAGGTGCCAAGGAGTAGTGAGCATTCCCTGCCGACTGGTCACACCTGCCGTGTGCTCCTTGTCCTGATCGGAAAAAACGGAAAAATCCGTAAACAATTCAGTGTTTAAACAATGGCCTTACAATTAGTATGAAAAACGTCAGTCAGCATTTGACTTAATGATAGGTTGTATTTGCTGACAAGGCCATTGTATCGACCATAAAACTTACGAAATGATGACTTCAAACGAAACTGTTGATATCTTTGTTTTATCAACTTGTCAATAGCTTGCCTCGTTTTAGAAACTGTTCATACGTAGAGCATACTCTTGCGTATCGAATCAACTGGAAGACAAAAAAACCCATATGCAGGTTATAAGGGTATATTGCTACATAAGTAATGGAAGTTGACGATTGAAAAATTGAAGTCATCACGTTTATCATAAAGCTTATCCAAATATGAAACAGAAGTGTCAGAAACTGTGGTATCTTTTATTTCAAGCTCACTGGGATATATCGTGTCGACATATGAATGGCAGTAACTATTGTTAATTGATAATACGTCTTCGATATATCTAAATGTCGAGTTGAAGGCCAAAGCAAGTGTTAGTATCAAGAAAATATCAAGCAAAATAGTATCTCATATCCTTTTATTTATTTATCATATACAAGTTTGTTTTAATTCCTGATAGACGTTTTTGAGAGGAGATTGGTCCACACATTTTTGGATAGTGTTTTTTTTTGGTCATATTCTTTAGTAGCTTGCCTTCCCCCTTCCCACTTTTAGGACAGTTTTTTTTCTGGCCTGTAAATTTTCTTTTTGGGAGTTAGCCCCCCCCCCTCCCCACTTTTAAAACATTGATACGGGCCTGTAAGGTATGCAGACTCGGTAATGACGTTAAGAGTGCTTGTTCTTGAAAATAAAAATGCAACTACCAATTTCCCGAACGAAATGTCTCAAAACATTGAGTCCTTGTCGTAAAAATCCCCAAACCTTCTAACCTTGTAAATAATTTAAAAAAAAATGAACTGAAATAATTTCTGTACAATTTTGCAAAGTTGCTTCAACGTATCCGGTGGAAAAGTGTTCATTAAATTGCATTTGGTGGTGTAACCGGTCGGCAGGGGATGCTTACTCATGACATCTGATCCCAACTCTGATGTTTTTAGAAGTCCGTGTTTGCTCTGCTCCCGATTTGTATTTTTTAATGGACTTTGAGCTTGAACACTGTTCGTTATCACAAATCCGGGCATCTAGCAATCTTAACCTTTTGCATCCGAAATTCTAGAAACATTCTGAAACATTTTTCTAATGATAATCTTACATTTTGCGAATTAATTTTGATATTAAAAAAAAGGAGCAACAATCATGAAAATTAGCACATATTTATTTTGTAAAATATATATATATCATATATTTGAAAATATTTGATTTATATGTTTCAAACTTGTACTGTCTGACAGCATAGAGTATATATAGATAACTGTAGTATAAAATCAGAATTTCTTTACACTGATGTCTCAACATTATCATTCCCAACAAAGAAAGAATGCGACACCCTGATGAGTTCCTCAATACTGACACTGCTATTCCCACTAACCTTCGGCTGTCTCCTTTTGGTCGAGAATTCTCTAATACTGGTATACAGGGTCGTCCGAAAACGACTCCCACAAAAAACATAAATAAAAATGTTCACAGAATAGTTCAGATAATACAGTGTAAGAAACAACTGTTGGAGCACCCTGTCTTCTGAAGAAGCTGTATAGACTTTTCTCATAAGTCCTTCCACTGTGACCTTGATACGGACGATATGGCTAGGAGTGTGCAAGAATAGAAAGACAAGAGCAACGGTTAGTAAAAGTCTGGTGACGGCACAGTGTGGGGAAATTTTCTTCCTACGAGCAGTTGAATGGGCTCTTCGTAGGCGAGTGGATCGGCGGGTTGCCTCTCCTGAACTGAAGATGGTCATGAGCACTAGGACAGGCACTATAAAGAGTGGTACCACGAGAGTCAAAATAGTGTCTACATAGGTTAATGCAAGCTGCACGTTTTGGAATTCTGGATTGGTATGACAAAATGCTTTCCCATGCAACACTGTTATTTTTGCCCCCCATAAAGGGAAATTATAAATGATGCACGCTGAAATAAAGCAGGTCATAACAGTATTTCGAGCAATTTTTGCCGTGCAACTCGATGCAACTTTCACAGGGCAACATACTCTGATGTAGTTTTCTATCGTAACCAAAACAACGGCCCATGCCGACATAAATCCACAAAGATATGATAAAAATAGAACTATTTGGCAGACGCCTTCGATATGAAATACTCGAATGTTCACAAAATCTAACCATGCTATTAAGAGCGTTAAGAGAAATCCGTTGTCGGAAATGGCTTTCATGGCGAGATAGATGCAACAAGACGTTGTTCGTTGTGTTTTTCTCACAAACATTTTTATGGATATTGAGTTGCCTACAAAACCGATGAGACATATCATTGGAAGAGCTAAAAGTCTTATCAAAAAGCTGGTGCGTTCGATTCCATACTCTGAGTCGTCAAAGTCTGTAGAATTTTTCAAATTTGTTATATTCACAGACATTGCGTTCTTAGAGTTTAAAACTTAATCTCCAGTAGTGGAATTAATTTTATGTCAATGTGCTGAATGTCATCCGACTCAGTGGAAAATTCCATGTACCATCACAAAGACATAGTCAAATAAACTTAAACATGCCATTTTGCTGAGCCTTGTTGACGCGTCTTTGCTTGGTCCTTCAATAATGATCTACATAATATGGTAAGGCTTATAATATATATGTGTGTGTGTGGTAATGAAAGATTTCCATCCAATCAATGACTTTTGTTGGATTAGAATAACAGAAGGAGGATGAGCATTGAATAAGTCTACAGGAGTCATCGCCTGTCGATCACAGCATATACAGTTTCATCAAGTGTATGTACATGTACTAAAGCAACTGAAAATATACTTTGCTGAAGTGACAAACGACCTTAGCCCAGAAAGCATAATTTCCATTCTGAAATATGTTGGAAGTTGTTTTTACAACATTTTTTTGTAATTTATTTTTTGTTATTGGTTAAAAATTAAAAAAAATGTTTTTATCGATGATGATGATGAGAAAAAAGTTAAAAATATGCCTACGTTCAAGTCTGTGTGACATACACACCAATAATTTATACTAAGCTTAAAAATATTCAGTATATTTATATTTTACTTGTTTAAAAGCACCAAAATATACTCAATGTGTGAATTTCTAGCTGCCCTATATCGTTAGAATTTTATTAAAGGCTCTGTAGCCTTATTGTGACGTCACTTTAGTGCGAGTTTCTCCATGTATATTTCTATACTATGGCATTCAATGGCATTGAAATCAATTTCATAGTTAAGTAGAAAAACACAGTAAATGTACATATTTGAGGAATGAATAACATAACATAACAGTTTACGCTTTATAAACAGCTTATTTTAACCTATGTTATACGATATAACATAATTTGGGGCAGTTTAAGTTTTATAAACCGCAAAGCGGTTTATAAAAAAGCGTAAACTGTCCCAAGTTATGTTATATCGTATAACATAGGTTAAAATAAGCTTCATTCCTTATAATTTAATTTCAGTGTAGACAATAAGACAATTTTTCCTCCAAAAATGGCTTCAAATTGAGCATATTTTAAAAGTAACGTCAAGAGGAGTAATACGTTTTTGACGTAACTCATTGTGACGTAGGTAACTTATGTTAGACGATATAAACTAAATCTTTTATCCAATCAAATGACGTGTTACAACTAAAATTAAATTATATAAGAATTCTTGCATTTTGATTTTACTAATTGTGATCGTGTTGTCGAGATTTCTATTCAATGTGATTATATGTGAACTTAGAAAAGAAGATTCAGTGGCGAAACCAAAACTAGCATTATACATAAAATAATCCTTTTTAATAAAAAAGAGATTTTATTCAAATACTAAAAGGCTCAAATACCAGGTATGCAGTCTAGCAAATTAATTCTTTCATAAAACCATTTTTATAAGTCTTTCACTCATTATATAAACCTTACCGTATCACGAGTAAGCACACGAGTGTTAGCGGCTAGAACAGAATACATAGCGTATTTAAATTCTCACAAACACCAGGGCAAGCAATCTCTTGTTAGAGCTATCTCTTTAAAAAATATCTTTGAAATTAGAGAATTCTATGTAAAATAAAAAAAAAAAAGGGTTTGCCATTGACACAGGTTTCTTTTATTTTCATGCATACGAAATGTATATAGATGATACTAGTCCATAAATAGTGCACAAGTATTCGAATTTGGTGGATAGGTTATTTGAAAATTCTGAAACTGTGTGTAGTGTACTTTAATTTAAACGAAGGGAAATTAATAAAATTGTGCTAATTCGAAAAAATCAATATTACGAAAGTGCCTTTTTTACCTTTGTATGTGCTATCATTTACAACCGATTTAAATTTGAATTACAACTTTTTTTATTCTGAATTATTGCATTGCTGAAAGAATCGCTCAAATGGGAAACAAACTGATATACGTCGAGGTTTTTCTTAGCAACAAATGTACCCTTCTTTCTTGTTAAAGCAATACACATAGATACAGGTAGGTCGGAGCACATGAGTGCAAATGTAAGTGGTGACGTCAATATCAGGTATTGATTTTAATGAAGGCAAGTCAACTTGTAGAATTACTTAATTTATAATTACCAGCCGACGAAAATGGAGTTATATTTGAAGTCCTTTAGTTTTGTGTGTGTCTGAATATCTGTCTATGGTTTCCTAAGCTTTTAAGGGGTATGGATTCGCTAAGTAAAGCTTGCCCAATAACAAGGAAGAATTAACAAAGTTTTTTTCCAGTTCTAGGAATGGATGCAGACTTTTCTCCTCTATAACCTTTTTGTACAATTTTAGCCAAACAGCCACAAAAAGTATTTAGTAAATACATGAAAATACATTGTAACGATAACTTTTCCAAGTTAAACAAAACATTATCTTTCTTTTCCATTCACAAATATTGCAGAACATACATATGTAGGTAAAAAAGGATTGATTTTTAACTTCTGATAATTTTGTCAGCATCATTACTGGGACCTAATTGTACATTCTAGGCATTTAATGGTTGAGTTGTTACATTACTGAAATGAGAGGAGTTGAAGGTGAAGACTGACTACAAAACATGCCCCACTGTTGCAACCACTATTGAAATAACGACCACTATTGAAATAATTATTTCAATAGTGGTTGAGAGTGCATTTCAAAACCAAACACAGCTTGTAACCACTATTGAAATAATGTTCACTATTGAAATAATTATTTCAATAGTGGTTGAGAGTGCATTTCAAAACCAAACACAGCTTGTAACCACTATTGAAATAACGTTCACTATTGAAACAATTATTTCAATAGTTGTTAAGAGAGCATTTCAAAGCCTAAACCAAGTTGTTATCACTATTGAAATAACGGTCACTACTGAAATAATTATTTCAATAGCGGTTTTTATACGTATAACCACTATTGAAATAACGACCTCTGATGTTATAACACTTATACTTAGTTTTCCCAAATAGTTGATTTTAATGTATTGACAAGAAACGTTTGATTTACTATCCATATTAGTACAGTGGGCAAGCCCAAGAATATAAGCGAAAATTTACTTTTATTCTATATCCTTTTGATTAAAATTAATCTTTTTTTTTTTCATCAGAAAGTTTGTACACATATTATATATCAATAGATGTCTTCTTTCTTCTTCTTAATGTAGATATTCTAATTTCTACACCTATCCGTATTTATAATCTTTTACTTTCCCCAATTAATAACAAAGATGAAAATTATATAAGAAAATTACTTAAAATTACTAGATCAGTTAAATCACAGATATCCGTGTATTAATAGTATTTCTGGCCAGAAATTAAAACAAAAAATTACATATCATATTTAAACTCAATTAATTAATTTTATTATGTTGGAAAACATAATGAAGAATTTCTCCTTATATTTTTTCCAATATTGGGGTTATTTCAATGAGGCTTGCAATTTGGTTTTTATATTGAAATCATTGTCAGCAACTATTGAAATAATGATTCCAATCACTATTGAAATCATTATTTCAATCACTATTGAAATCTTTATTTCAATAGTGAACATTATTTCATTAGTGGTTGCAACCCGTGTTTGCTTCTGAAATGCACTTTCAACCACTATTGAAATAATTATTTCAATAGTGAACGTTATTTCAATAGTGGTTGCAACCTATGTTGGGTTTTGAAATGCACTCTCAATCACTATTGAAATAATTATTTCAATAGTGAACGTTATTTCAATAGTGGTTGCAACCTATGTTTTGTTTTGAAATGCACTCTCAACCACTATTGAAATAATTATTTCAAAAGTGGCCGTTATTTCAATAGTGGTTACAAGCTGTGTTTGGTTTTGAAATGCATTCTCAACCACTATTGAAATAATTATTTCAATAGTGGTCGTTATTTCAATAGTGGTTGCAACACCCCACATCGTATAATCGAATACATCGTATAATCGTATACATCGTATAATTGTTAATTTTAGTGGGGAATCCCAATATACCATGTTTTAACATGCTTTATTAAGTAATGATTAATCTGCTTATGTAGTAATGCTTGCAGTATATTTTAAAGTTAGTTTACATGTAACAGTGTAATTTTTGTGACAAAAGGGGAAAGCCTGGATATTTGATTGATTTTTTTCAACAAAGTCTGCTACTAGTATATATATTTCATATATTTGGATGGTTTAATGTTTAGTTAATGATACGCCAATGGTGACTAACAACAATACTCTTCCACAAACATGATGACTTCAGCTTTTCCACCGCCAACTTCCCTTATTTATATACTAGTAGTTTTCCACAATTACCTACATATGGCAGAGCATACCTTAATATGATCAATTTTTTAAACCGATGCACGCTTCGACAAATAAGTTGATGTTACGTGGATTCCAACAACTTGTTTAAAGTTAGGATTTTGTCAATTCTATGGTCGATATAATGACGTTGTTTGCAAACACAATATTAATTTCATTGGGTCTTATTTTATCTGACATATTTCATTCAAATTGTTAGGTTTATGTACGTAAATTGTTAGTTTTTTGTTGTTTTTTTTTTTACTAAATCTGTCTAGATATTACTCCGTCTAGCTGATCAGTGTACATAAGACTTACGGCCGACAGAGAACACTTACTCTTCACAGGCACCTACATGTAACCCACCTCCGGTGTCTCCAGAGGTCTTTGTTGTGTTTTACCCTATTCACGATTCGTATCGGCATTTAATCGTATATATCGACGACATTTATCAATTAACAATAGTAACTTCCATTCATATGTCGATCCGATATATACATAAAGAATGTTATTGATCAATCACTTTTATACCTTCCATTAAAAAGAGGCTACTTAATCCCCCTTTGCTTTTTATTTTTATCCCTTCACATATGGAAAACCAGTGACGTTTCGTAATTCTTGGCTTGACAGAAAATCGATCACTTTAATCGGATTTATCATACTTTGAAATTGAGGTCCGAAACATTTTGTGTGTGTT